GGTCACATGACGTTATATTGAGGAATGGAGATGGACCTTCATATGGTGTCCAGTATCTCCTCCTCATTTGTTGGTCACATGACGTTATATTGAGGGATGGAGATGGACCTTAATATGGTGTCCAGTATCTCCTCCTCATTGGTTGGTCACATGACGTTATATTGGGGAAGGGAGATGGACCTTCATATGGTGTAGTGTCTCCTCCTCATTGGTTGGTCACATGACGTTATATTGGGGAATGGAGATGGACCTTCATATGGTGTCCAGTATCTCCTCCTCATTTGTTGGGGACATGACATCCTGTGAACAGTTATTTAGAGTTCATCACTCACCTGAGTTGATATCTAGAGAAGCTTCCTCTTCTTTAACGGTCACCATTATCCAAGCCTCCACTGTAGACTGATGATCTGCCGTCACACACGTCTCCTCTTCTTCTTCTTCTTTAACCTCAATTTTTAGATCCCTCAGGTCTTCAACCTAAACCAACAAAATGTAATATCACCGGACTCTCCAGAGAAGGAGATCATTTCATACAGATTGGGGTCTCAGTCAGTTCTTCTACCTGATCATGGTGGGGGACGGTGAGATCTTCCTGGGTGGAGTCCCGGGAATACAGAGGGCGGAGACATCTCTCATGGTGGGGGACGGTGAGATCTTCCTGGGTGGGGTCCCGGGAATACAGGGGGCGGAGACATCTCTCATGGTGGGGGATGGTGAGATATTCCTGGGTGGAGTTCCGGGAATACAGAGGGCAGAGACATCTCTCATGGTGGGGGATGGTGAGATCTTCCTGGGTGGGGTCCCGGGAATACAGGGGGCGGGGACATCTCTCTGGTGGGTTCCTCTTACTGGATCCATCTGTAGGAAACACACACACACTGACTGAATACATTGTTTCTATGAGCTTCTAGGATCTTCTCTATGTTGAGTCTCTCGGGTCTCAAGGTTGGAGGTGGTGGAGTGGTGATGTGGCCTCTCCTGGTTGTGTCATGTTCAGTAGAAGAATTTGTTGCTACTTCACAGTCCTGTGTCATAGGAAGATAAATATCAGTCCCCTCAGTCCCTCTAGTCCCTAATGGTGGAGGGATGAGGGTGATGGGAGAGGAGGATGCTAATGGTGGAGGGATGAGGGTGACGGGAGAGGAGGAGCTAATGGTGGAAGGATGAGGGTAATGGGAGAGGAGGATGATGAGGGTGATGGGAGGAGGAGGATGGTAATGGTGGCAGGATGAGGGTGATGGGGGTGGATAGTGGAGAAGACACAGGAATTACTGAAGGACCAGGAAGTGGGTAGAAGATTCATGAAGACCTCATCTAGTGGAGTGTAGGACAGTAGAAGTGTGTGTGATGAGAGGTGGAAGATGTGATCATAGAACGTGGAGAGAGTTGGGGGTTTTAGTGGGAGCCTAAAGAGAGATGGTGCGGGGCAGAGAGCTGAGGATCATAGAGAGAGAGAGAGAGAGATAGAGGGGACATCAGAGGAAGGAAGCCGGACATAAGATGGAGAGCGGAGGATGGGTGATGTGCGTCCATTCCTCTACAGCGTGACGTCCAGCTTCTGGAATATTTCCTAAGACCATATACACCTTCTATACACATATAGAGATGACATACAAGTTCTGGAATCCCTCTCTTCTATAACCAAATATCACAGAGGACGTCCACTGTAAGTATTCGTAGGACCTGTGTGGGTGTTATTAATGAGCAGTGCACACCCACCTCTCCAGTCATCAAGCCGAGGATCTCCAGGGCGAAGTTCAATATCGTCTCATTCCGGGGAGGTTCCTCTCCTACCATATGGTGGTCCTCCATCACCACGTCCTTGTAGAGATCCCGGTGTCCTTCTAGATACTCCCACTCCTCCATGGAGAGATAGACAGAGACATCCTGACACCTTATAGGAACCTGACACACACAATGATACCGTCACCACCCAGACACGCCCCTTGTCTGTTCCTGGATCATGTCCCAGAATCCCCGGCACCTCTCCCGTCACCACCCAGACACACCCCTTGTCTGTTCCTGGATCATGTCCCAGAATTCCCGGCACCGCTCACCTCTCCCGTCACCACCCAGACACGCCCCTTGTCTGTTCCTGGATCATGTCCCAGAATTCCCGGCACCGCTCACCTCTCCCGTCACCACCCAGACACGCCCCTTGTCTGTTCCTGGATCATGTCCCAGAATCCCCGGCCCCGCCCACCTCTCCCGTCACCACCCAGACACGCCCCTTGTCTGTTCCTGGATCATGTCCCAGAATCCCCGGCACCGCCCACCTCTCCCATCACCACCCAGACACACCCCCTTGTCTGTTCCTGGATCATGTCCCAGAATCCCCGGCACCGCTCACCTCTCCCGTCAGCAGCTCCATCATCTTCTTGGTGACTTCTAGAACCTTCTCCATGTTGGGTCTCTCGGGTTTTAGGGAGTCACATGGGGGCGCTGTGATGGTCACATGATCACCAGACTTCAGAAGAGGAAAACTCTGGATGGAGAAACCAATAGGAACATCATGTTAGAAACCCAGAATCCTCCTCACCTCTCCGGTCAGGTCATGTGACCTCCCAGAATCCTCCTCACCCCTCCGGTCAGGTCATGTGACCTCCCAGAACCCTCCTCACCTCTCCGGTCAGCAGGTAGATGATCTCCAGGGTGAGGTTTAGTATCCTCTCAGTCATGTGACTCCGGTCCTCCTCCATTTTCCTGGATGTGGTCATGTGATCTGTGCAGGAAGCTCCTCCCTGTAGAGGGATAATAAAGCGAGAACTGGAATAAATGACGTCTTGTTGTCAGTCTCGGGATGTCTCCTTCTAGTGTCACGGGTCAATATTCTGACAGCCAACTCCACCAATATAGGTCTGGAGTCTTCTGGCCATCAAGTCCAACCTCTCACATCTCCTTCAGCTCGGGTTCAGAGGAAGACATTAGTAGAACTCTTCCATATTCTACCAATCGGCTTTATAGATCCGGTTGTCACCTTTTCTTTGTGAGAAACCCAAATACTCCAGTGCCGCATGGAGAGGAGAGATTTTTTAATGTTACCAGTGTACAGAGGGGTATGGAGGGGAAGGAAGGTCAAGGTACAGAGGGGCGTGGAGCGGAAAGAAGGTCAGGGTACAGAGGGGCGTGGAGCGGAAAGGTCAGGGTACAGAGGGCCGTGGAGCGGAAAGAAGGTCAGGGTACAGAGGGGCGTGGAGGGGAAGGAAGGTCAGGGTACAGAGTTGCGTGGAGCGGAAAGAAGGTCAGGGTACAGAGGGGTATGGAGGGGAAGGAAGGGGGGAGGGCAGGGTGAGGGACACAAGTTGGGGTTCAGAGTCTCAAAAAGACATTCGCTGAGGAGATTCCGGAAGTGTAGAGGAAAGAGATTCTAGAGTCACACGTGTGACTT